ATTATATCTATAAATAATTATATACAATAATATATATGAATATCTATGTTATAATATATATTATGAATGATTTATAACATTCTTATGTATAATTTAATATATAAAATGATTATACACATATATTACATAATTATATAACTATATAATCATACTTTGATATCTCTTATCTGTAATACTAGATATATATTATTTAATTTTATGTAATTTTAGAAATGTATGTACTTATATAGATGATATATAAATATGTAAATATAATTTGTTATATAATATGCAATGTTTTATATTATCTTTGATTTTATATTATATTCATATGTATATATTAATCTAAATTATTAATCTGTCATAGCATATTATATAAGTAAAATCACACTAATATATATTAATGCAGTTATATTCATTCATTACATATTACATAATAGCTAATATATGCAATTTATTGCCAGTGCCGTGGCTCAATAGGCTAATTAAAAATTCAAAAAAATTAAAACAAAAAAATGAGACAAGGGTATTTTGTAAAATCAGAGGAGAAAAAGGACACTACAGAAATAAAAACAATCATCAGGAGTTACTACAAAGAGCTATATACCAAGAACTGGGAAACCTCAAAGACATGGATAGATTCCTAGACACATACAATCTACCAAAATTGAGTCATGAAGATATAGAAAGCCTAAATAGACCATTAACCAAGAAGGAGATTGAAACAGTACCAAAGGCCCTCCCAACAAAGAAAATCCAAAACTGGATGGCTTCACTGCTGAATTCTCCCAGACTTTTAAAGAAGAACTAATTCCTATTCTCAAGCTATTCAAAGCAATTGAAAGGGAGGGAATCCTCCCACACTCCTATGAGACCAGCGTCATCTTAATTCCTAAACCAGAAAAAGATGCAACAGAGAAAGAGAACTATACACCAATATCCCTGAGGAATATAGATTAAAAAATCCTCAAAATGTCTAAACTCTTGAAGAACTGATTTTTTCTACTTACTACTTGTTGAATTCTTTATTTGGTTGAAGGTTATGCTTGTGGTTGTACAATAAACTTGAAAGTATGTCAATTTAAAATCTAAAATAAAAAAATAAGGAAGGAGAAGGGAGCATGGGAGCATTGGTGGGAGGTAGGATAGGATGGGAAGTACCATTATGCTCTTAAATGTATATTATGAAATACAGGAAGTTTGTTCACCTTATATGAATTTTAAAAATTAAGAAAATTACTTGTGTTTGTTTGCATGTCTGCAGAAGCTCTATTAATAATTATTAAACACTTCAAACAACCAAAAGATCCTTAACAGGTGAATGGAAAAGCAAATTTTGGTACTCCCATACAATGGAATACTATTGAGGATAAAAAGTAATGAACTGTCAATATTGAAAATACATTGAATAATCATCAATGCATAATATTGATTGTAAGAAGTCAATCAGAAAAGATTAAATACTGTGCCATATAAACATTTATATGGCAAAAATATGCATGCAATAACTAGATCAATGAATCCTTTAAGGCCAAAGGGAGGATGGGGTATGACAAGTACAGGGCATATTTTACAGCAGCTAAACTATTCTGATACACTGTTATGGTGAATATATGACAGTATGTGTTTTTAAAACCCACAGAAATTTAAGAAAATAGAGTGAATCCTAATGTGTGAAAATATTTTTAAAAAGAAACATAGACATTCAGAAATCTCAAAATGGAATGAAGAATATGAATGGCAAATATGTAAGTATATTTATATCTATTTTTTTGACAGGCAGAGTTAGAGAGAGAGAGACCGAGAGAAAGGTCTTCCTTCCATTGGTTCACCCCCCAAATGGCCGCAACAGCTGGAGCTGTGCTGATCCGAAGCCAGGAGCCAGGTGCTTCTCCTCGTCTCCCATGCCGGTGCAGGGCCCAAGCACCTGGGCCATCCTCCACTGCCTTCCCGGGCCACAGCAGAGAGCTGGACTGGAAGAGGAGCAACCGGGACAGAATCCGGCGCCCCAACCGGGACTAGAACCTGGGGTGTTGGCACCGCAGGTGGAGAATTAGCCTAGTGAGCCACAGCACTGGTGTATATCTATTCTTAAATATATACAGACAATTGTAACAAATAAATGTTTTACAAATATATTAAGCATCCTAACTGAAGGGAAGAGAAGAGTGCAAAGTAGTTTTTTTTTTTTTTTTTAATGTATTTACTTAAGAGACAGAGAAAGAGACAGAAAGGCAGAGAACTCACACTCCACTGGTTCACTCTCCAAATGTCTAAGAACAGGGAATAGGCCTGAGCAAGTATTGGAACTAAGTATTTAATCTCCGTCTTTCACATAGGTGAAAGGAACTCAAACATGGGAGCAATGACTGTAGCGTAGAGCCTGCATTAGCGGGAAGCTGGAGTCAAGAATCAGATTCAGGTGTGGAACGAAGGTACTCCGATCTAAGATGCACTTTCTTAACAGGCATCTCAACTGCTGGGTCAAATGCCCACCTTTAGACCAGAAATCTACCCACTAAGTGTTTGTTATTTAAATGAAGTACCAAGAATAAGGCAAAAAGGACCACAAATAAGTACTGTACTCCACTTGATTGATTTGTTTTTCAAAGAGGTAAACGACCTAAAACCACTGCACTACATAGTCTGAAATGAATAAAGTATATTAACAGGATGGTGAGGAAAGACTTCTCACCATTAGTGTGGTTACAGATAAGCAAGAAGAGAAGGCTAGCCTCATCCACCTGGTTGAAGATATCAGTGTAAACTCCTGTTTAACTTAACATATATGCAGATGACTACATACAGAAGCATTTATATACCTGTATATGTTACACACACACACACACACACACACACACAGACATACACTTGCTTCCCTTTCAACTGAGAGGCTCTAGAAACAAAAATATACCAGTAGCAATGAGAACACTTAGCACTGAGATCTTTGTCCTCATTACCTTTCTTAAATAAAAAGAACTGGGCTCCTTGAAGAAGTGCCTAACCCTAGCATGGAGAAGGAAATATGTAACATGAGGCTGAGGCATCTTGCAATGCTAGAAAGTAAGAAAGTACTGTATTCAGTATCTTCACAGTCATGAGAGGATGTTGAAGGGACACAAAATTGCAACCAAAAGAACTTCTGTCTGCCAAAGCTGCTACAATTTGGGCAACACATAAAGCAAGCACTATTTAAGCCCTCAAATATAAGGTAAATTCTCATGAATCCATAATTATATGTAAAAATCAATTAAATACATGGAGAGATAAGACTAATTGCTTATGCAAAATTTTTCAAATAATCCCATCGATATACTTACCTCTAAGATCTCTCTCCAAAACAGAATAACCCCAATCTGAACACAAGAAAACACAAATCCACACCAGTTCCACAAAGTACTTGAACAGGACTGTTCTAAACTTTGAAGTTCATCAGACAAGACAGTCTGAGAAAAGTTCATGTCAAAAAGAGCCTAAGAAGACATGTCAACTAAATGCTGTGTTATATTTTAGATGGAATCTTGAAACAGAATAGGTTCCTTGAGTAAAACTAACAACATTTGAATACAGTATGGCCTTTAGCCATAATAATGTGTCAATATTGGTTAATTGATTATAACAAATGTACCATATTCATGTAAGATATTAATAATAGGGTAGACCAAGTGTGTGGTATATATGAACTCTATTATTTTTATAATTTTCCAGTAAATCTAAAAATATAAAAATAAAAAGGTATTTGAACAAGAAATGAAAAGAAATACCAAACATTCTCACCTTTGACAAACACAAACCTTGGACTGAGTCACTGCATTCATTTTTTGACAGCAATTAATAAAATATCAAATGATTTGCACTCCTATGTATTACTGTGAAATTCCAGAGCACCAGAGTTTTTACAGCACAGTATAAGTTCCCAGAGAGTGCTAATTCAACACAAATACACACATACACAAACACACACTCTCATGTAAAAATATATACATGTAACATCAAATAAGAGATCAGACAGATATACATATTACTAGAGACCAGAATATCGTCACTTTCTTGATGGTAAGATGCTAGAGCATGATGAAATATTTTTAAAATTAAAGAGAAAATTTTTTCAACACTGTATTCTATTTCTATGTAAATTATCAATTGTGTCTGAGATTAGTGCTATCCCCAAAACAAAGAATATATATTTGTATATATACATATATATAGAGAGAGAGAGCAAGAGAGAGAGAGAGACTCCAATAATCTACTTAATACATATAGTTTGTTGGAAAGTGGGTGACATGCTATAATAGCAAAGTAAGTAAAGTGTACTATATGAAATTTTAGAACCATACAAGAACAAGAACCATACAAGAACAACCGTTCTTGTAACTTGACTTCTGAAACAGTTATTAAATTGTTAAAGAAGTAATACATTAACTATTTTACCATCATCCTGGATCTACTTGGTGAATACAACAGAATCATTTGTTTAAGTATTGTTTTTAGTTTAAATTCTAACAACTAAAGTAAATTGTTAAAAAAAAAAGTGGATCCTGTGGTATGTCCTGGAGGTACTGTTGATGTCCTCGAGTAGTGAGGACTAATGAATTCATTAAATCACAATCAATTATTTTATAAGGATGTAATTTATTTGATTTATATAAGTATTTTCCAATTGGTGGTAATTGGGACCATTAATGTAAAAATATTAAAATTAAAATATATATAAAATATATATTTATTAACAAATTAAAACATCTTATTGCACTTTAAAACATTTTAGAAATATAATTTGAGTCACTTTTTTAAAATATGTGAATAGCATGATACCAACTGAATATTTCTCAGTAACCACTCTCGAGCCAAGACTGCCTGTCCATCCACATTTTTTAAAGATTTATTTTATTTATTTGAAAGACAGAATTCCAAAGAGAGAGAGGGAGAGACAGAAAGAAGGATCTTCCATCTGCTGGTTCATTTCTCAAATTGTTGCAACGGCCAGGGCTGGGCCAGTTGCAAGCTAGGAACTAATTCCAAGTCTCCCATATGGGTGCAGGGGCCCAAGCACTTGGGCCATCTTCCGTTGCTTTTCCAGGCACATTAGCGGGGAGCTGGATTGGAAGTGCAGCAGCCAGGACTTGAATCGGCACCCATATGGATGCTGGCACTGCAGGTGGAGGGTTAACCTTGTGCACCACAGTGCTGGCCCCAATCGGGGAAGGCATTTTGATCTAATGCCTGGTTAAGATACTGGAGTGCCTGGGGTCAATCTCCAGCTCCAGTTACTGACTCCACTTGCCTGCATACAGGCCCTGGGAGGCAGCAGGTGATGATTCAAGTAATGGAGTCCCTGCCACCCATGTGGGATACCTGGATTGTGTTTCCTGGCTCCTAGCTTCAGCCTTGGCCTAGCCATTGCCATCAATGGCATTTGGGAAATGGATTAGCAGGTGGGAACTCTTCTGTCTCTGTCCCTGTATGTCTCTCCACCACTCAAATAAGTAAATGAAAGTCAGAAACAAATAATAAAATAATAATCGTTCATTAAAAATTTCATTTCAATAATGAGGGAACACCCTTCATCTTCCTCCTCAATAAGGACTTATGTAACTTTTTTTTTTCTTTGTGAATTTTCTTCTCTGTAACAGCTGTGCCTTGTCCTCAAAATATCCCAGGGGAATGATTTTAGCTTGATAGCATCCAATATCCTGCTGGGTGGTATTACTTTCAAAACTAATTACAACACAAGCTAAAAGAATTGCTTTGTCTCAAACTTTACACATGAAAAATGAGACAAATTTGGAGTAAACACTTTACATTCTCATCCTGAGGAAAAAATGGTGGTAGAGGGTGTGAGGCAATGGAATTAAAACATAGAATACTAGAATATCAGCCTAAAAACTGATATCCATTTTTTAAAAATACAGTCATTCGTGTTTATTTTTATTTGAAAGGCAGGAGACAGAGAGGTGGATGGAGATAGATCTTCCACTTGCTAGTTCACTCCTCAAATGCCTCACACAGCCAGGGCAGGACCATGCAGAAGCCAGACGCCCACAACTGAATCCTGGTCTCCCACCTGGGTGCAGGGAGCCAAGCACTGGAGCCATTTTCTGCTGCCTCTGAGTGTTTACATTAGCAGGAAGCTGGATCAGAACTTAGACTAGTTGTAGCCCAAACCAGGCACTCTGACATGGGGTGCATGTGCCCCAAAGTGCTTATTAACTGCATTGCTACAAACCTGCTTCTTTACTCATTTTTAGTAAACTGTTTTGCAGAGGAGATTAGAGGAAGGAAAGAAAAGTTTTGTAGTCAGGCAATGGGGAAACTTGATGTTAGTCTTTAGAAGAGGATTAAATGAAGAACGGAGATGATGGTAATAACATAGTTTATGAATTCATAAAAGCTCAGGTGTGGAAGATTTCTTAAATATATATTTATTAGATAATGATTTCAGAATATTTAAATTCCATATTAAATATGATTAATGAGACATTTCTATTTCATTCTAAATCACTCCTCTTTTTATCTCCTTCAAATTATTAGCATCCCCTCATTTAAAAACACTTTAAAAAGTTTTTTCTACAATATGAAGCACAAAATTATACATTCACTGCACCAACTCTTGCATGAGGAATGGCTTACAAAATGTATTTATTATTTCTGATTCATCATCTTCATTATGTTTATTGGAATTATTAAGTTTATATTTTGGTGGCAGAGCTGTGGTGCAGTAGGTTAATAATCCACCTGCAGTGCCGGCTGCTCCTCTTCCAATCCAGCTCTCTGCTGATGCCCTGGGAAGCAGTAGAAGATGGCCCAAGTCCTTGGTCCCCTGCACCCGCATGGGAGACCTGGAGGAGCTCCTGGCTCCTGGCTTTGGATTGGCATAGCTCTGGCTGTTGCCGCCTTTTGGGGAGTGAACCAGCGGATAGAAGACATCTCTCTCTGTCTCTACCTCTCACTGTCTATCACTCTACCTGTCAAAAAAAGTTTGTATTTCTCACTTGCCTTGAAATTATTTTTTTTTTAAAAGAGGAAATTTTACTTTTTATGGTATATAAAAGAAAATGTTATTTTTTAATATTAGAATACTTTCCTCATATGTCAAGTAAATGACAATAGAGAATTGTATTTCCATATTTTACTGAAATTTGATGACAGAAGAGGAAACATGGTTATAGTAAAAAGCACTATCATTATAGATCATGAACTATTTTTATTAAGGCTCAGGTATGAAGCAGTATCTTCAGATTTTAACACAGATTTAGAAATGATACAAGTTAATAAGTAAAATGATAAGATAATATAGAAGCAAGTACATATTTAGAATAGAAAACTTCATACTCTGTATAACAGAGGTAGCATTTTCACACCTGATAATAGGTATATCATTTATGCCTTAATTTGTAAAAATCTTAATGTTAGTTTCCTAAGGTAGTGACTGAACACCTCTGGACACTAATTAATGAAGGACATACTCTTGCCCATGATATCTTTAAAACAATTACAAGTCTAGTTAAATCATATATTGTTCTTGTCCAGTAGAATATGCAGGGTGAAAATGAATTGAGTAGAGAAAAATTATTCACACATATGAAATGACGATGTTCTTGGCAAAACTATGGGACAGACTTTGTGAGGGGGAAAATGGGATATAGTCCTGTGGACAGTGATACTAACACGTCTCATTATAATTTTGAAAGAGTTGGAATTAAATTTTGGTTTTATAATCTTTTGTTATCTTTCTTTGCTTTATTTCATTAGTATGATCATTTTGAAAATCTCTCTTTGTGTTCATTAAGAGGGACAAAAAGAGTGTGAATGTAGACGTTTTTATTCATGCCTAACCCTGAAAGGTAAAGAAAAGAATTAGTCGTAAAAATCAGAAATCAGATTCATGAAGAGCCTGTCATTTAGAATCTTATTTAATATTACAAAAGTTATGAGGCCAGCGCTTGGCAGGTAAGGCTGCTGCCTGTAATGCTGGCATTCCATATGGGCGCCGGTTCGAGTCCTGCTTCCTCCACTTCCCATCCAGCTCTCTGCTATGGCCTGGGAGAGTAGTAGAAAATGGCCCAAAGTCCTTCGGCCCCTGTACCCTCTTGGGAGACCTGGAAGAAGCTCCTGGCTTCAGATTGGTGCAGCTCCAGCTGTTGCAGCCTTCTGGGGAGGGAACTAGGGGACAGAAGTCCTCTCTCTGCCTCTACCTCTCTGTAACTCTGCCTTTCAAATAAATAAATAAATCTTTTTTTTTAAAAAAGAAATATACAGGGACCTGGAATGAGGATCACTGTTTCTCTAGGAGTTATTTCTCTTTGCCAGTTCATTTAAAGATATTTGAGATGTAAATGATTGCAGTACTCATGATTTACTCCTTTCCAGGGGTCTTCATGGCTCCTATATGTACTGTCATCTTGTTATTATATTTGCTAAGTCTAGGCATAATCTTGAATGTTCAACATTCATTATTTCACTTTCACCTCCCAAGAATTGGAGACATAGTCTTTATATTATCTACATTTTATATTTAATAAAACAGATTTAGATATACTTCTACCAGTTAATGAGGCATATGGGAATTTTGCTGTATTCAAGGCAATATGTTAGTATATTTCTAGTCATCACATTGATTGAAAAATATCCTACAATTCATATTTTTTAATTTTCACTTCTCTTTTAATCAAGTGCTTTACATAAGTATATTTTTACTACTTCCAAAAATCCCAGAAAATTAACAGTTAACATACACGATTTAGAATAACTCTGTATGTAACCTTATAATTATCTGAAAATAATTTTAATTTAGGATTAAATTTAAATTAATGTCAACATAAATGATCTATTCAAGTAGATGTCAAAACTTCCAGATATTGGATTTTCAGCCAAACTTATATTTTCTAAATTTACTGAAAGAGAAATTTGCTTCCTCAAAAGGGTTAACAACTCAGGGAGATCATTATCAGGTAAAATTTAATTATCCCTAATTCTTGTTCCAAATACTTTCTAGTGAGTAAGTCAATAATGTTAGAAAAATACAAAGATTACACTTCTAAAAATAAATATTTGCTGTATTCTACACTCTGAGGAGTTTGGCATTAACACAATCATTTCTACATAACTATAATCAGACAGTTTACATATAATAATAAAAGATTACTTGTTACTGTATATGAAATTGGGTGTTGTGAACTTTTCAGGAGTACTGTGACACTTACACTGAGATCATATATATTGACTTTTGGGAAAAGGAGCCATAGAGAGGCATTCATTCATTCACTGGATAATTATTCATTTGGTATGGCCATTGGGCTAGAACTTTTACTAGACTTTGAGGGTATTCACACAGTCCAGGAACCAAGAAGTTAGCAGGGACCAGCATTGTAGTATAGTGGGTTAAGCCATTGCTACTAGCAATGTGGGCATCCCACATCAGAGTGCTGGTTCAAGTCCCAGTTGCTTTATTTCTCAAGTCAGCGTCATTGTAATGCACCTGAGAAATCAACAGAAGATGGCCCAAGTACCTATACTCTTCCCACCCATAGAGTAGACCAGGATGAAATTCCTGTGTTAGGATTTGGCCTGGCCCAGGTCTGGCTTGTGCAGCCAGTTGAGGAGTGAACCAGTAGATGGATGATATTTCTCTCCCCCCCTCTCTCTGTTGCTCTTTTAAATAAACAAATAAATCTTATTTTAGAAAAGAATTTGGCTACTAGTTAAAGTGATCGGTTTAAGTTCATAACTGATCATAAAGATAGGTGTTAGGGACCCATTTGCGGAGAAAATAACCACGCTATAGCGCAGTTTGAAAGAGGAAACGGCCTAACCACAAAACCGTTATAATGGCCTAACCACAAACCGCAAATCAACTGTCATAACTGTCGTTGCTATGACTTCAGGACCCTGGGAGGTCAGCGCAAGGGTGGGGCTGACCTCTAGAAACCATATATAAGGGGACCATCAGACACTGTAAAGCAGAGGTTGCTCAGCCTCTCTCCCTGGTCCATAGCGCCTTGTGCCCGCAGGAGTAGGCTTGAGAGATCTCTCTCCCTAGTAGCCTAGAGTACCAATAAAATGTGTTTAGCTTGACTTTCCTCAGTCTCTTCGACACTTTCTTCGCAGCAACCAGGCTAGTTCCCGGAGAGGGAGATCCTGGCAGATAGGATTAAGTGTCAAGGGGATCACATAAAAAAAGACCAGTGTCTGCTAATAATAATTGATAGAATTAAAAAGGAGAGAACAATCCAACATGGGAATTGGGATACACAGCAGACTCATAGAATGACAAATGCCCTAAACAGCACTCTGGCCTCAGAGTCAGCCCTTAAAGCATTCTGAACTGGCTGAAAAGCCCAAGAGAGTATCTCATGCATGGAAAGCCAAGACACTGTGGCAAAAAATTACCTAAAAGGAAGTTCTCTGTGAGTGAGATCTTGGTGGAAAGAAGGGGCCATCAAAGAAGGAGGTACCTTTCTCTGAAGGGAGGAGAGAACTTCTACTTTGATTATGGTCTTGTCTAAATGAGGTCGGAGTTTGGGAACTCAAGAGGCTTCCATAGCCTTGGCAGCTCATGACAAGAGCCTCCGGTGATCACTGATGTAATAAAGGAAGATATCAGTTGTTAAATCCACAACAGGAGTCACTGCACTTTCTCCCCATGTAGGACATTTTATGTGTTGTACTATGAGAATCAATGGTAAGACCAATCTTAAAACAGTACATTATACTTTGAGTGTCTGTGTGGATGTAAACTATTGAAATCTTTACTCAGTATAGAGTTGATCTTCTGTATATAAAGCTAATTAAAAATGAATCTTAATGAAGAATGGGATGGTAGAGGGAGTAGGAGATGGAATGGTTGGCGGGGGGAGGGTGGCAATGGGGGGAAAAATCACTGTAATCCAAAAGTACTTTTGAAATTTATATTTATTAAATAAAAGTTTATATTTTGAAAAAAAGAAATTGATATTCTGGTGGGTAGGAAGTAACCTAACAACTACAATGAGAGCTAGCAATTAATTTAAATTAGTAAAATGTATCATGAAAGTAGATAAGCATTACATTGTACATCAACCGTCAGGACAAGAGCTGATCAACTCAATGTTTCTCATAATGTCCATTTCATATCAACAAGTTTCCCCTTTGGTGCTCAGTTAGTTGTCGCCGATCAGGGAGAACATATGATATTTTTCCCTTTGGGACTGGCTTAATTCACTCAGCTCTTGTCCTGATGGTTGATGTACAATGTAATACTTTATCCATTTTAGTATTTTTTTTTGTTCTAGTACCATTGGTTGAACTCTGTAATTAACACACAATTATTCTTAGGTGTTTAAATTTTAACTGAAAAGTGATCCCTGTTAGGAATTTGGAAAACATTATGCTGAGTGAAATAAGCCAATCCCAAAGGGACAAATACCACTTGTTCTCCTTGATAGGTGACAACTAACTGGGCACCAAAAAGGAAACCTGTTAAAGTGAAATGAACACTAAGAAATGATG